TCTGACCATGACAAGTGTGTGAGGCTGATACACCAGCACTTGAGTCCCCAAGCTTTGCCGGGTTCATCCTGCCACTAAGTGGCTAGGGAAAATGAGCAAGTGCCTGGATCCCTCTGGGTCTCTGCACCAAGGGAGCGAGGAGGCTACCTGGGGCCTCTGGTTTCCCTCTGAGCTCCTGCATGCTGTTTTTGGGTTCCCGGAGGCTGGAGGTACAGCGACGCAGGTTGGAATTCCCACCCTAATGCCCTCGTGTGAGTCATATTGAACTGACAAGTTCAACTCCACAAAGGCATATTGTCTTCCTGGGTGCAGAAGCAGCAGTGCCCACCTCTCCCACAGGCCCAATCTAAAGCCGGGTAGCTGGGAATGCCCAGTGGGGGACAGGGTCATGCTCAGCCCCAACGATAATCCAGGGTACATCAGCCTAGATCTCCCCCTGTGGGTCTTCTCCAGTAGACAAACCCATCACCCCACCTATGTGCTCCCTGACCAGCTTCCTCTGAGCCCATATCCACTGTCCCATGGGACAGGTCTATGGGTCACAGGGAGCCTTCAAGGACTCTCAGAGTGGCTGTAAAGAGCTGTCCACTTCCACCCAGTATGGGCAGCAGGAGACCAAAAGAGAGCTCTGGGGGTCTTAGTTGGAGAAGCTTGTGGGGTGAACACATAGGACCCCACAAGAAGCCCCAAGCTGAAACCCATCAAATGCTCCATTGATTGGCCTTTCAGGCAGCAAGGGGTCTGGAGTGATCCAAACACCTTTGGGGAAGAGGTGAGTTCACATAAAGGTCAGGGAACGGGACAGGGTGACAGGGGAGTGGCGTGGGGAAAAACACATAGGCAGGAGTGAATGCTGAGTGTGCGTGTGTGGGGGGGTGGGAGTGGAGAAACCTGCTGTGGGAAGAGGACACTGACACGTCCCAAGCTCTTCATTTGTCACAGCACAGGAAAGCAGCTGGGTGACCACTAGTCCGTGATGTGCAAACTTAATGTCCACAAACCAATCAGAACAGCTCAGGAGAAGGGGGGAGAGCCTGCTGCTCATACTAGCCCTGCCCCCACCCCAGGGCTCTGTGCCCACAGATGCACACAAAACAGAAGAGTCAAATTAGATGAATGATGTGCTTTGGTTTTTTTTTTTCTTCTTATGACATATTATGTGTCTGTCCCATGGGAATTTATCTAGTGCATTTAGAACTTTGAATGATGTTTCATTTATCAACATTGTTGGGAAAGAGAAGCGTAAGTGAATTTTCCCTGTAACAGAAACTTACTCATTTAATCTCCATCGTTTAACATGAAAACCTTTCCTAATGTTACAAGCTTGTTCTCTGGGCTCTTTAAACAGTGTCTAAATACAATGGACCCTTCCTTGTTTCTTTGGAGTCCTAATTACCTAAAGGTGAGTTATGACACAGGATGACAATGTACCTGCTCCCCCTATTACAAGTTTTGGGGTCCATAGCTTGTCCTTCCCCTTCCAATTGGCTGTTCCCAATCTGTTGTAGACCTTGAGCCAAGAGAGAACTCTGCCTCTGGTAGAAGCCTTTGTAAACTGAGGCAATAAACTATTAAAGAAATCCAATATGCTGTCCCTGAGTTAAGTAGACGTGTTTCATGACAACTATTTCAATGTTTTGTGTCTTTTGTTAAATCTTCTTCTTTTAACCTTTATATTAGATCCTTTTTTGCATGTTTGTGTGTTCATTTTTGTTTTGTTTTGTTTTATTTTTATTTTCTGTTTTCATGGTTCTGAGGACTGAATCAGGACCTCACGCATGCTAAGCAGGTGCCCTATCACTGAGGGGCACCCCAGTGGGATGCTACCCTTTCTTTCACACCCACCTCTACATACAAACACATCTCTGAGTTCTCTAGGTTTACTTCTAATTCAGGGAAATGGAATTTTCTTTGGTTAGTCCTAAAACCACTCTCCAAAAGAGTCGCTTATTCTTGTGGACTAGGATATAGTAAGCAGGTCCATGGTGCCCCCCGCCCCACCTGCACACTCTCCATCTGAGAAGACTAAACCACCAGAGTGAAAAGAAGCCATGAAGATCCACTACACCCCAGATCCCAGCTGAGGGAAGCTTCACCTAGCTCTGACCCTCGGAGCACTCTGAGCCCTTGACCATGGGCAAGGGCAGACCCTGGAAACAGTGAGAGCACTGCAGCCTGGTATGGTCAGCCTACAGGCTCCATCTGTCCTGGAATAAATTATTCTACAGATGGAGCAGTGTCCATGCCTCCAAAGGAATCTCAGGACCAAATGCATATAGGAAGTTTCAAGTTTAAAAGTCAAATTCTCTCTTGCTGGCCTTTTCCAAGCCTTTCATACACCATGAGTAGTGAATCTTCAAGATGGAGGTGTCATTATGCACAGGAGTTCTCAAAGTTGCTTAGCCACCAAACCCAAGCCCACTCTGAAAATGCCACATTTCTCCTCACTTCCCTCCTCTAATCCTAAAGAACTATGTGACCTTGAGCAAGGCCCTTTCCCGTCTTTCGGCTTCATGTTCTTCATGTGTCCAGTGATCACCAATGGCAATGAGCTTTGCAGGGAACCCACGTGCCAACTTGAATCTTGGAAAGTCACAGCCTATATATGCTGCCTGGGGGTTAAGGGAAAGCTACCGTGGTTAATTAGACCTGTCTGCCCCGGTCTGATAGCCTGCATGCCCACACTGACTGTCCCTGTAACTGGACAACCCCTGTGATCACATTTTGCTTCAAGAGTTTGCTTTGAGCACAACCAGGCCCCTGACATGACCCTGGGCTTTCAGAACTCCATAGTCACCCGGATCGAAAGCCTCTCCACTCTCACCATAGGCCTCCAGAGCTAAAGCTGTTCCTATCCATTGGCCTTACATAGCCTGCAGCTTGGCTCTTCCAACCGTCTCAAGTTATGCTGAGAAACTCAGGGATTTCCACATTTTGCACAACCTCAAGAGAATCTGGCATCAACGTTTGGACAAGATTCCCTCCTACAAATCCTGGAATACCACAGGTCCTATACACATTCTTTATCCCCAAAGCTAAGTGTCATTTTCATATTGGATTCACCCCTGAAGGCCTCCACTGTCCAAAGAAAACTGCTTTCCTCACCTCAGCACCACATGGGTATCACGGGGAGGGGGTGTTTTAATGAGGCCCCTATCCTCCACGCTCACTTACTGGGTGGGACTCCAGAGGTGGGACCTAGCCATCTGTCTTTTTTTCACACTTGCTTCAGTTGGACACTGAAGTTGAGAACCACAGGACCTCAAGCAACTTGTCTCCTGAGCTGGCCAGACCAGGGCTGTGTACTGACAAGGTACAGCAAGATCTCACTGGGTGAAACCACCAGGAATCAGTTTTTCTGACCTGGCTCACTCACAAGGCACCTCATTCCTCATCCTGTCTGCTGCCTCTTGGGGTTGTTGTGAGGAAAGAACTAAACAGATATCTTTGCAAAGTACCTGGTCCAGCACCAGCACCCAGCAGTACTCCAAAACATCAGTGTCCTTCCCTCCCTCTGCTAATATGTAGCTGCTCCTCTGTCCCAATCTTGTTCACCCTGCCAGAGGTTCTAGAAATCAGAAGGTGGAGTATCCCCAAGAATTACCCAAATCCTCTGGGTATGGTGGTTCGCACCTGGGGTGGTGCATGCCTGTAATCACAGCCTCTTGGGAGGCTGAGACAGGAAGATTACAAGCTCAAGACCAGTCTCAGCCATTTAGCAAGGCCATAAGCAACTTAGCAAGACCCTGTCTCATAATAAAAAAATAAATAAATAAAGTGGTTAAGAGCCCCTGGGTTCAATCCCTGGTTTAAAAAAAAAATTAACCAAATCTATTTTGCTGTGGGCAGAAGGAAGAAGGAAATGGTGGGATGTGATAACAAAATGTTCCTCTTAGAGCTTCATATCCAGGCTCCCACTGCATATCCTGTTCTTCCTACTAGAGATGATACAATTCCCAAAAGGAGAATCTCCCCCAAATCGACAGCTCTTGGGACAGGGTAAAAGTCCTTTTTTGTTCATTATTGCTATGTACATGGTTGGCATGAAATGGGCACATAATAATTATCTACTGTGTTGATGAATGATGGATGGATAGATGGATGGATGGGTGGATGAATGGGTGGGTGGGTGGATGGGTGGGTGGGTGTGTTTATAGGTGGATGGGTGGATAGACAAGATGGATGTGTGGATGAATGGATGGATGGGGGGATGGACAGATGAATGGGTAGACAGATGGATGTGAAGTCAAAACATACGGCAACATAGGACAAGACCTGGATTCTGGTTCTGGCCTCAGGTCTTATTTCTGTTAACACATCTGAGCCTCTGCTTCTCATAAAACAATGGTGGTTATACCTAGCCCAGCTCCACCACCAAGGAAATTTGTGTCTCAGCTGGAATTACTACCTACAATGGTACTTAATAAACTATCAGATCATGCAATTGTCAGAGGTGATGGTGAGGGTGATAGTGATGGCAAGAAAGAGCAGCCAGAGTGTCAGAGAGTTCACAGATCCTTCCATAGTAACAGGGATGCCTTTTGTTCAGCCCACCTTGCCAGTGTAAGCAAGTAGGCAGCGGGAGGAAGACAAGCTGGGCACAGCGGGTACCCAGCTGCTTTCCTCTCTTACTCACAAGAACATTCCCCCGAAATGATGGACCAAGACATTTGCTCATGAAGCTGTGGGTGGACCCCAATACCTCCTTTTTGGCAAATCAACCAAGAAAGAGGCCCAGATGGCCTGGAAACAACTCCTCCCTGCAGACAAGGGGTTCAGAGAGCCAGAGTGTCAGAACTGCAAACACCATGAGGTCATCTGGCCCCCATCCTCTCATTTTGTGGAGACAATATTACAGTCTTCTTGGCACCAATTAATAACTGCCACTCCTCCCACCCACGACACCTCACCAGGCTCCACTGGGACACTTATCACTTACAGAGGGGGAAAAAAATCACTTTTCCAAGAGGAAGGCAAACACTGATTTATTAATTAATTACCTCAGGGGGTCTGCAAACTGCAGACAGGGAGCAAAAGGCTGGAGAGGCGTGGAGAAGCTCTGAGAGGAGGTGGGGGGTGCTCGGCTCACACTCCAAGGGTGAGAGCTGACACTTCCAGATGGGTGCTGCAGGTGTGTTTTGAGATTTTCTCTGTGTGCTTGAAAGGAAGGCTTGTTACTGCTGCCACCCATCAGCAGAAAAGAACAGAATTATAGGATTGGAGGAGTGGTCTCTGGCTCTAGAAACTCTTCCATGTCCCCCAGAGCAGCAGAACCACCAAGAAAAAGCTCCCAGCCTCAAATTCAACATCCTTGGGCATGACCTTCCTCTTCAGAACCCCAACACACACACACACACACACACACACACACACACCAACACACACACATGTTGGGAACAGCAATGGAATTATGGTTTTGAACTATTCTGTGACAGAGGTGATGCCGCTTTGGAGAACTCTTGGTGTGAAGGTGCTGATCGAGATAGCCCAGTTGCTATGGTGACACCCTGTTCAATAGGAGGTTCTGTGCCAGCCAAAGAGCTATTCAATTCTTAACCTTGAGTTTCAGGTGCCAGTTGCACCAGAGTAGAAAGTTATGGGCACAAGCTGATAATCAGTCTGCTCATACTCATGACCTTGGCTCCTCTTGCTTTGAAGAATCTTTCACACATAACCCTTTCTATGATAAAATTTATAGAATAAATATGCTGAGCTGACTTGTGGTCATTGCACTCTATCAGAGTGTGGTGCCCATTGGGTCCCAGCTTTTTCTCTTGTTGTGTGTCTGTTTGTTTTTTCTAATCCCCTCATTCAGTTTCCCAAATTAACTGTCTTGCAGGCCACGACACACACATACACACACACACACACACACATACACACACACGTCCATCTAACATCCAGAGCCCCTAGACAAGACAATCTATTGTCAATCATTTATACCCACTTGTGAAAATGAGCCCCCACTTCCATCTGCTTAAGAGAATTTACAAAATGACTCTCATTTCTGTGCAATTGGATTTGGGACTCAGAAATCAGCCCTGTAATTGGTGGGGCAGAATAGGCTCCTCTGGCCCCTGATATCACACTGCCCTGGTCACCATATTCTCCAGCCTATGGAACAAGGCTGGCTCCAGCGTGGTGAGCAGGATCTCTGAGGATGTATGCCAATGCTCCCACTAGGAACTTTTGCCAACTGAGAGGCTGAAGGGAGCCCCGGAGACCACTCTGAACATCTCTGAGGAGGAAATGGGGCCACCATCTGTAGGGGTGCTGCCCACTCAGTGCACTGAGGTGTCCAGCAAGGAGTGTGTCGGACTGAAGCAGCTATGTGTGTGCCCTGGCTCTGTGTTGCATCTGCCAAGGGAAGGAAGGCATTCTCTAGTTCATGCATAATTGGCCAGCCATGGTCCAGATGGAAGAGACGGAGGATGGAGATGAGCCCTCTTCTATGAGGAGGATCTGCTGCTTCCACAAGTCATCTGAGTGGGCTTGCTTATGTGACAGGGGTTATGTGTGGGCCTGTGGGTCAGGAAAGCAGCAGAGGGGTGTCCATGTGTCCATGGGAAATTTTCAAGTAAAAAACAAGGAATTTGGGAGAGGATACAAAATAGGAGCCAGTCAGCTCTGGACAGAGCCCTGAAGGAGAGAGTTCCTGGGATAATAAGAAAGAGGAATCATACACACACACACACACACACACTCACTCACTCACACACACCAGTCTGAAGGTCCTCAGTAAGACTGGTCAACTACAGGAACCTCACCCACAGCTCCACAGCTTCATGAGGCCTTGGACGTGGACGTGGGTCCAACTGAAGTGTTCAGCTTATTTTGACAACCAGAGTAGAATTTTAAATGGCTGGAGGAAGGGCAGGAATGGAAGTGGGGCCAGGACAGCCGCTTTGGATGTAAAAGTCCTGCTGTATCAACTAGATCTTGACCATCTCTGTCACAAGCTCTCTCTGGCTAGAATTTCTATTTCAATCCTTGACTGCTTCCCCCACTGTTAAAAAAAATACATATCCAAAAATTTGAATTAAAGCAAAAAGAGGGCTGGCTGTGTCTCCCTCAGCCATGCCAGCACGTGGTCACACAGAGCTGCCTGAAGGGCATCTGCCTTCCAGGATGAAATTACTCTGACTTACCACTGAGCAGAGCCCGGTTAGGTGCTAGCAGTAGAGAACTGGTCCTGTGATGGCGATTTGTGTTGAATGGACAGTATGACACCAAAGTTTATGATTTTATTGTCCTCCTGGATATTAACCTATTTTATATCTAATTTAACAATCTTATTCCAGCATTCTTTTTCCCATTAATGTGTATGTTTATACATACAAATATATGTAAACACATGTACACACGGACATACACATAGATGTGTATACATATATACCTATTTTTTCTCATTCTGTTTTATTAATCTCTTGGTTCCCTCATTTGCAAATTAAATAAATCTGCATATATTTGTAAGATAATCATGCCTTTAACAGTTTGAAACTTCTACTTTGACATTCATTTAGATGGACCTTCTGTCTTCAGTCCCTGATGCTCACTGTCTCGCCCAGATGGCTGGGGGCTGACAGCGTCTCCCTCTTGGGTAACCTCTTCTGGTCCATGTCCACCATACTAGCCAGTGAATATCTGGCCTGGACAGGCCCTCAGCCTGATTGTGGCCTAGCTGGTGATGGGAAGGGAGGTAAGAGGGGCATCCTGTGATCCAGCCACACTGTCAGAAACAGCAATTCCCTAAAACCCCGTTGAAAAAGGAGTAGAAAACTCTCTGGGAAACTCCCCCACACCCCTGGCAGGCAGGGGAGGGTAAGAGGTTCCAGAGCTGGAGGTGAGAGGGGGTATCTCAGGCTCTGCCCAGATTCTGCCTCCCCTCCATCCAGAGGGAAGGCTCCTGCCAGCTCAGGCTGCAGGACCTCTCTCTCTTTCCCTACTCATGGAGGAACCTCCTGCTCATTCTCACGGGACTGGGGTGGACATCAGAGGACGGACAATTGACGGAGGATATCTGGAAAGGCAGGAAACTTAAGATGCTCAAGTGCCAGCAGAGCCTGCAGGACCCACAGGGAGGGCAGATTTTCTCTTCAGTAGTAAGCAAAATAAACAGTGGGAAACAAGAGACTGGCATTTGATGAATGTGTCCATTTTAAAAAATATTAAATGTGTACAAGGGGAGGACTGAAGAAGAAAAGGAGGGGGAGAGCAAGAGGGGAAGCAGACAGACTCATCTCTGAAAGCCACAGGTTTGCAGCTGCAGCCCAGCGAGGGCCCAGCAGGAATCCAAGGCCAGAGGCTCCTGCAGCCCTGAGGCCCTGATGGCACCAGGCCAGGGTGGCAGAACCCTGCTTCCTCCCCAGCGGCTGACCTGAGTGAACCCTGCCTCCCAGGCCTGTCGTTCTCAGGAGGAGGGAAAGACGGCATTACGGGAGACATCCCAGCTGCCAGGGACCAAACCGCCCGGATGCCAGGATTTGCCATGTTGAAAGCTTCATAACCTTTCTATTTAAGTATTGAGGCCCCCAAACCAACCCCTGAGAGATGTCCACATGAATGCAGCATGAGAGCCTGAACCCGCCACACAGCTGCCCCAGGTCTGCTGCAGAGCCTGAGGGATGCTCACCAAGGCCAAGGGAAGGAGGTGGTGATGGCGCATGAGCAGGACCCTGGGCCAGAGAGCCAGGAAAGAGGCCATCTCTCCTAAAGGCCTGAAGCATTGTTCTGAGGGTCTTAAAGGATGGACTCACCCCTCTCCAGAAATAGGAAGAGCTTGAGAGAGGCAGCATTGATGCAGCTGACACCCCCATGAGACCTGGGCTAGGGGAGCCTGTGACCCACTGGGACAAGCTAGGCTTTGTGACTGGAGAGACAGCACAGGAAGGGGGAAGAGGGCAGTGAAGCACAGTGACCTTGGCATGGGTCAGTGTTTCCTGGGGCTGGAACGGCTTCGCTTCCCTTCCCTCATTCCCTGGAGCAGTGACAGTGACAACATTGTCCCCATTTTACAGATGGGGACACTGAGACACAGCCGAGCACCACATCTAAGGCTTCACCACACTCCCACACATGGCCCAGGAGGTAAGGTGTGTGTCTCTGCCCAAGAGCCAAAGATGTTCTCTACCACAGGTTTGTGTCAGACAGACAGCAATCTGGGCCGGGCTGGGTCTGCTTCCTGTGCAGTCTTCCTCGGTCCCTGACCTCTGTCTGCAATATGGGCAGGTTCTGGAGTTTCTGAGACCAGGGGAGGAGGGCTGGAGAAAGTAAGATGGGCACCAGAGAGGGAGTACCTGTCCTGCCCAGGCCTCTCTCTGGCCTCAGCTGGTGGCTACTCAGAAACATCCATCCCAGGACACACGGGCTGCGTTCAGGGCTCCAGAACCACAGATACTGGGAACTCAGGGGACTCAGAAGCCACAGGCTCCCAGCTCCTCCTCACACCCCAGCAATGAGAACAGTGTCTCCTGAGACGGCAGGTTCACAAGGATGGAGTATCAGGTCCCAAGGAGCCAGAATCCTGGTCCTGAGCCAGAGTCCCCTTAGGTGAAGCGCTGGACAGTACCTGGCAGGGCTCAAGTGCTATGGGAGCCTCTGCCATTGCTAGTACTGCCATGGTCTATGCATTGTCAACAGCATCGTCATCCCTCACGTCCTTCTCTAGGGGAGCTTGCTGGACCTCCCTCAGGCCAGTGGATGCCCCCTGCACACCCCCACCTCAGTTAACAGAAAAAGGGGGGACAGCGCGGTGTACATCTTCCAGGGCCTGTTGAAGGGCCGCTGGGAAGGGGCTCCACTCCGCCTGGCCACGGCACAGGAGACAGGCAGAGCCTAAAAGCCCTGGAGAGACCTTCTAGCTCCTGTCTCCCGTTCTACAAAGGAGGAGGCCTAGGAGGTGGCGAGGCAGGCAGAGGTCAAGGCCCTCCCCTCTTGCCCATGGTGAGCAGGTTTGGTGTGCAGCTGACTTAACCCAACAGCCAGCGCTCAGAGAGAGACTTTGAGGCCAGTGGTCGGGAGAGGTTTCAGGGCGGGGAGCTCTCGGTTGGCTCCTCGTCTTTTCTCTCACGTTCCACTTCCGTCTGAGATGAGCACAGCAAGCAGGGCTGGTGGCAGGAGGCTTCCAGTGAGCTGAGGTCCCCAGGGCAGGAAAGCCACTCAGAGTGACAGTGCAGGTGGAAGTTTAGGGATAAATATACCAGGTACGGCCTCCAGGCACTTCTGAAAGGGACCCTGAAACACACCCTTGGTGTCAAACTGCTCCTCTGGCTGTGGTCCTTCAGATTTAGCTCCCCGTGGTGGCAGGTTCAACTGTGGCCACCTCGGAGAGGTCATTCCTTCCCCAGGGAGGGAGGCCCCAGGGCAGGGAGAAGAATTCTGCAGGTGGCTTAAAGGAGGAGCTTTGCCATGTAGTCTTGGTGGAAAGACAGAAGATTGGGAGAAAGAGATGTGGACAGTGCTGTTGGTCAAGCCCAGAGGCTAGCCTAAGCACTGTGAGATCTCAAGTAGGTCCCTTCACCTCTCTGGGCTTATCTCTTCATCTATAAAAATGGATGAAGGAGAGGGCAGTGGATATGAAGATAAATGGAGATTTCTAGAATCTGGAAGAATGAGGTACAAGCCCTGAAAGGAAAACAGTGCTTTGTCTTACGAGTTTGATTTGTTCTTTTAAATTTAAGAGAGAGAAGTGACATCTACAAGCTTAAAAACCTCTGGACTTAAAAAAAAAAAATAGTAAAGAGGGACTTGCCAGGACAATATCATTTCTAGTAACTCACCTCACCCGGTAAAATCAGAGTGGGGTCACTCCCAGCAGGGACAATGAGGACTCCAAGCCTTCCATTTTCCCCAATGCTCCCCCCACACCCTCCATGGGGACCAGATACCTGCTGCTGCCCTTTGGTGCTCCCTCCCCTCTCTCCACAGTTCTAATGAAGCAAGATGGCCTCATGCAGCACTCCAGGATCTCTCCCTTTGACACGGGTAGGTTTGGGCTCTATTTATCTGCTCTGCGTGGGGACTGTGGGCGAGATATCCAGGGGGAAGGCTCCTGGGAACTCCACCCGACCTCCTTGGGCCTCTTCAATTTGGATGAGGAGTTGCAAAAAAAGGTGCAAAAGCCCCCCTACTCCCCACCCACTCGGTGTTCAGAGGGATGAATGTTCTAGAAGATGTGCTCCAGGCTGAAAAGTCTGGGAGCCCGGCTTCTAACTCTGGCACTGAGTCTCTCTGCAACCAGCCACTGGGCCACAGTTTTCTCATGTGTAACATGGGAAGAGAGAAACCGCTGTGTGGTGGGGTGGAGACTGGAGCCAGGCCACCCAAGGAACATTGAGTCCTTACCTCGTTTTGAACACCAAGCCCTCAAGTTGCTCCCCCAGTACAAGCTGAAAAATGGCTACATTAATGGAATCTGCAGAGCAGTTTGCTCAAGTGCAAACCCAGGACCATCTTCCATGGGCCTTATCTCTCATGACTACCAACACCCACCACCATCTCCCCAAACGCCTCATGGACATGTCCCTCCTCCATTCCTGCACCTAATCCCTTGTGCAGATCAGCTGCGTGCACAGCAGTTCTCCTGCCTCAGAACTTGGTCTGGGATCCTTGCTCATGCCGAGTCCCCCCAGCCCCCTGCTCTACATGTTGCCCTAGACATGGTGGCCTGCACACCACCTGCTAAATATACTATAGGTTCAACTGTGTATTAGCTCATGCCATTCCTTTGCTCATTAAACTCCCACTCATCCCAGTACCCAAACAGCAACTTCTCCATGGAGCCTTTATCTATCCCCCACACCTCTGTCTTTGACTTAGCCAGACCATGCTCTGACCTCCCAGATGTTTGGCTTATAGTCTTCAAACATACCTGACGCCCTCTTCCAGATCTCTGCCCCAACTCCAGCCCTCCACCTTACAAACACCACTCTCCTCACCTCTCCCACAGTTTCTTCCCAGAAAACCTCTTCCAGAGGCTCCCAGGTCTGGGTGAAGCACCCTCCACACATTTTGGAATCAAGTTGCCATTGCCCTCATGGAAGAACATGCATTTATTGTGTGTCTTGCACAATGCCTGGCACTAACTGGGTTCCAAGAAATAGTTGTTCAAGGAAGGGAAGGGAAGGAGAAAGGGGGGACATTAACTGTAAGTCTCAGGCTTCCAGTATCAGTCTCATGAAACATCAAAGGCTATTTACTGAAGGGGTAAATTTAAATGTGGTACATTTTATACCTTAAGATCATACATATAAATATGTTCACCATTTAAAACAACCTGTGATCGGGCTATGTGCTGATTTGGAGTTCTGAGACAAGTACCCTTTCTATACTTGTCTTGGTGCATGCGCCATACACTGCCTCCCAGCAGCCTGAATGCTCCCCAGAGGCGGGGCCTGGGTGTGGCCTCTCTGAATCTCTCAGAGTCTCTGGACACAGTTGAGTTTTAACCAGCACTTGCTGAATTAACTTCAAATAAACTGCACTGAGGTCCCGAAAGACATTCCATCCCAAGTTACAGGGACAGAATTTTGCAGCATCCTACAAAAGCTGGTCCAGGCCACAGGTGGGGTCTGGGGTCCCAACAGGGTGACTTCAAAAGAGACAAACATGTCCCCAAGGGGGTGTACCT